CCAGGCCACGTGTGATGTACAAAGGTAGGACCAGGCCACGTGTGATGTACAAAGGTAGGACCAGGCCACGTGTGATGTACAAAGGTAGGACCAGGCCACGTGTGATGCACAAAGGTAGGACCAGGCCACGTGTGATGCACAAAGGTAAGACAGGTGCCAAGAGTACACAACTTACAGGGTGACAACACACGGCCACCGCCAGCCCCAACCTTTTTTTGCTGGGGTCTTTTCTTTTTTTTTTTTTCATTTCAGTTTCTCTTTTGTCAGTTACAGTGGAGCAACTGCATGCGGCAAACGTTGGTAAGCAAATATTATGAACAAGAGACATGTTGAAAGTTGACTCCTTGAAAAAACACAATGAACTTTTTGTTGTTGAGGTGAGTGAGCTGTGCCTAAACATGAGAGTGTAAGAGAAAGTGTAAGAGATGAAGCAAAAGACAAGACACAATTAGGTTGTCCTTCTCCCTCTCCGCTTCTTTTGTTTTAAGGGCTTTCCGATTTTTTTGGGGTTATTTCAATGTTATTTCTCACCCAAAATATATTTTTTTAAAGCTTTTCCTATATATCAACTGACATGCTGCTCAAATTTTGAATGCAACTATTTTTACTAAAATTGAAATCATTTTGTCCTATAGAAGTTCACCTCAGATAAATAGTATTTGGGGTTTTCTTGTCTTTCTTAACGACATGGTACTGCTCAGAGTTGTCCTCCACTTCTCAGGGGCAGTTGGTCGCTACTCCTTTTCTTAACGTGTAGTTTTATTGATGGAATACACAATATCAGTAGTACCAGGACATAGTCTTCACATTGTCAAACAGAAAATTCGTTGAGTATATCGACATTCAGGTACTCCAGGATAGCCACAGTGTAAACATCTGGCAGAAACCTCTGCCTGAGAACAAACGATTTTCAACTGCACTGTTTTTGACCGAGTAACTAGCGTCTGTGGGATGAGTTGATCACATAAATATATGTGTGGGTAGGTGTGGGTATGTGTGGGTGTGTGTGTGTATATATATGTTTTTAACCATGTGAGTACTGTGTGTATATATGTTTTTAACCATGTGAGAACTGCGTGTATATATGTTTTTAACTATGTGAGTACTGTGTGTATATATGTTTTTAACTATGTGAGTACTGTGTGTATATATGTTTTTAACTATGTGAGTACTGTGTATGAGCATGTTACCACACATAAGAATAAGTTTTCCACCAGTGTGCCTGAGACAGACCCTGATGTTCTACACGGACAGCGCACCAGCAACTGGTTCCACTGGGAACATTAGAGAGAGCCGGAGAAGCAACACCCCCTCCCACTACACAAAGTGCAAAGCTTCATGCTTGTTAGGACAAAGGAAAGGAGTTAACCAGACAACTATGTACTATCAAAATTATGGGAAAGAAGAGATAGACGCGGGTTTTGTCTTCATACAACCACTGACAAAAACAATGAAGACACAGAACCAAATCACAGCATGTGTCAATACGGCAGAAACCAATGGCTATGTTAGTGTGTGGGAGCAGAGGGCTAGCTGTTGAACAAAGGGTACTGGTTGCATTCCATAATTACACCACCACTAAAGAAATCCTTTCAAAATCAAAACAAAACACAGCATTTTCAGAAAAGGGAAAAAAAATAAATTAAGAAACAAAATACAAACAACCAGCACACACACACAGACACACACAAAGAGAAACGACAAGACTATGGGATGCGATCTGACCCGTCCAGTAGCCACATCCTGTTGGACAAAAAAATCAGGAAATACATTTCTTTTGACCAAATAACTGTAGATTTAAAGACATAAAATATGCGTCAAGATATACTTTGTTACAAAAAAATTATCTCCACTGGTCAAACCACAAGACAACACGAATTTGGAGAACAGCAGTGAATGTGTCAGTCCATCAGAAGAAACCCAATCCACACAGAATTTTAAAAACAACAGAAAGACCCGTGTTCCACCCACTACTGTACACGCTGTGCGACACACACTGACGATATGTTCCTGTCCACGACACATGTGTTCTGTCTGTGTCTGTGTCTACGACACATGTGTTCTGTCTGTGTCCACGACACATGTGTTTCTGTCTGTGTTCATGAAATGTGTAGACAGGAAACTCCCACTCGTCTGTGTGCTGTCACATTGTCTAGAGACATCCCCGTACTGACATACCATTTGGTTCTCACCCACTCAACAACCAAGCACTCAACTCGCCTTTCTCTCCAAGTCGGTCAAATATTTCACAGCTTACATGTCTAAATGAAATATTTCACAGCTTACATGTCTAAATGAAATATTTCACAGTTAACATGTCTAAATGAAATATTTCACAGTTGACATGTATAAGTGAAATATTTCACAGTTGACCTGTATAAGTGCAATATTTCACAGTTGACATGTATAAGTGAAATATTTCAGTTGACCTGTATAAGTGAAGTATTTCACAGTTGACAGGTATAAGTGAAATATTTCACAGTTGACATGTATAAGTGAAATATTTCACAGCTAACATGTCTAAATGAAATATTTCACAGTTAACATGTATAAGTGAAATATTTCACAGTTAACATGTATAAGTGAAATATTTCACAGCTAACATGTCTAAATGAAATATTTCACAGTTGACATGTCTAAATGAAATATTTCACAGCTAACATGTCTAAATGAAATATTTCACAGTTGACATGTCTAAATGAGATATTTCACAGCTAACATGTCTAAATGAAATATTTCACAGTTAACATGTATAAGTGAAATATTTCACAGTTGACATGTCTAAACGAAATATTTCACAGTTGACATGTGTTAGTGAAATATTTCACAGTTGACATGTATAAGTGAAATATTTCACAGTTGACCTGTATAAGTGAAATATTTCACAGTTGACCTGTATAAGTGAAATATTTCACAGTTGACATGTATAAGTGAAATATTTCATAGTTGACAGGTATAAGTGAAATATTTCACAGTTGACCTGTAAAGGTTGGTGAAATATTTCACCGATGACTTCCATCAACTTTGTGGACGAGAACCCCGCATGCACTCAAACACAAGAAGATTTAGCTCCTGAAAACAAACTTTGCTCTCGTGATAAACTCTCTTGACAACTACCTCGGCACGACAACTGTCTGGAGAAATAACTACCACCACAACTGTCTGGAGAAATAACTACCTCACCACCGCAACTGTCAGGAGAAATAACTACCACCACAACTGTCAGGGGAAATAACTACCACCACAACTGTCAGGACTACCACCACAACTGTCAGGAAAAATAACTTCCACCACAACTGTCAGGGGAAATAACTACCACAACTGTCAGGAGAAATAACTACCTCACCATCACAACTGTCAGGGGAAATAACTACCACCACAACTGTCAGGGGAAATAACTACCTCACCACCACAACTGTCAGGAGAAATAACTACCTCACCATCACAACTGTCAGGAGAAATAACTACCACCACAACTGTCAGGGGAAATAACTACCACCACAACTGTCAGGAGAAATAACTACCTCACCACCACAACTGTCAGGGGAAATAACTACCACCACAACTGTCAGGGGAAATAACTACCACCACAACTGTCAGGGGAAATAACTACCTCACCACCACAACTGTCAGGAGAAATAACTACCACCACAACTGTCAGGAGAAATAACTACCTCACCACCACAACTGTCAGGAGAAATAACTACCTCACCACCACAACTGTCAGGGGAAATAACTACCACCACAACTGTCAGGAGAAATAACTACCTCACCACCACAACTGTCAGGAAAAATAACTACCTCACCACCACAACTGTCAGGAGAAATAACTACCACCACAACTGTCAGGAGAAATAACGACCACCACAACTGTCAACCCCTGCCAAACCCTCCATGACCAAAATAGGAATTTTCTTCAAACTCTCCCCTAAAGAGTTACGGGGAAATCAGCCTTCAAAACCAAGTAGACTAAGAGTATGTAACAAACTGAAACCAGCAAATACAAGAGTACAGCAAATACAAACTACTAGACAAACAGAAAGACATATTTTCCCCTCATTTATCAAGTCACACAAATAGGGCATATAAACCACTGTAATTCCATGCCATGTCTGATCAGTTGTGTAGGAACCATGGAAACAGAATTCAAGAAAAGAATTTGATTTTACACAAATCTGATCAGGGCTCTTCAATCGAGAAAAAAAAATAAAACAGGGAAGGCCGTAATTTTGAGTGGGTAGTTGTGAGGTGTGAAGGAGAGAGAGGGAGGAAAGAGAGAGAGGGAGGAGAGAGGGAGGAGAGGGAGGGAGGAGAGAGAGGGAGGAGAGAGAGGGAGGAGAGAGAGGGAGGAGAGAGAGGGAGGAGAGAGAAGGTCCACTCACCGTGTCTGGGTGAGCCACGAGTGGAAGGCGTTGGCGGCCTGGGCAAACTGTTTCCTCAGGAGGTCGTTCTCCTCCTGTCGGTGCTCCTCCTTGTCAAGGTCGTTGTCACGCTCCTGGGGAACACACGCAGACACCCGTCACCTCACACCCACAGACACCCGCCAACCTCACACCCAGCAAGCCACACCCACAGACACCCGCCAATCACACCAACAGACACCCGCCAACCTCCCATCACACAGGCTATCATTCTTCCAAACTGGACCCAAATTCTTCTACACAGGACCCAACTTCCTGTGACCTGTACCAAAATTCTTCTACACTGGACCCAACTTCCTGTGACCTGTACAAAAATTCTTCTACACAGGACCCAACTTCCTGTGACCTGTACCAAAATTCTTCTACACTGGACCCAACTTCCTGTGACCTGTACAAAAATTCTTCTACACAGGATCCAACTTCCTGTGACCTGTACCAAAATTCTTCTACACTGGACCCAACTTCCTGTGACCTGTACAAAAATTCTTCTACTCAGGACCCAACTTCCTGTGACCTGTACAAAAATTCTTCTACACAGGACCCAACTTCCTGTGACCTGTACAAAAATTCTTCTACAGAGGACCCAACTTCCTGTGAACGGGCCCAGTATTGGCGCTCAGTGGGCCGCTGCGGCCAGCACATACCCGGATAATCTTCTGTAGGTTGTTCCAGGTCTCCTCGAGCGCCTCCATGGTGAACCAGGTGTAGGGGTTGGGCCCGACCTTGAAGCTCTTGATCTGTGCGTCCAGCGACTCCAGACCCTTGAAGTCTGCCTTGGCCGCGCTCAGAGACGCCTTGAACTGTTCGTGGGCCTCTCGCAGAGCCTGGGGATACAGCGCTCAAGGTCAGACAGTGTTGGGGGGCAGCTCAGCCCATGTACTCTATAACCTTGACCTATATACTCTATAACCTTGACCTATGTACCTATAACCTTTACCTATGTACTCTATAACCTTGACCTATGTACTCTATAACACATCTATAACCTTGACTTATGTACTTTATAACCTTGACCTATGTACTCTATAACCTTCACCTATGTCCTCTATAACCTTGACCTATGTATGTACTCAATAACTTTGACCTATGTACGCTATAAACTATCAAAGTTACAAGTACTCCAAAATCAAGCAGCAAAATTGATAATGAAACAAAAGAAATCAGCGCACGTAACACCAATTCTGAAAGAACTACACTGGCTGCCAATAAAAGAAAGGATCAAATACAAAACTGCTGTTCTCTGTTTCAAGTGTATAAATGATAGTGCACCCTCTTATCTTAAAACATTTCTGGAATTCTATCATCCACCTAAAGCCCTTAGATCAGCCTCTGATAATCTAATTCTTAAAACTCCAAAACAAAATTACAAAACATACGCGAGCGTTCCTTTTTGTTCTTTGGTCCCTAGGTATGATATATATATAT